TAAGTTATATAATTTTAAAAAAACAGCCAGCACGTAGAGAAGATATAAGATCAGTGCTCATTTTTTAATAAGTCTTAAGCCACAAGAAATTGATTAATTATAATCGAATGCGAGAAGAATATTTGACTGTAATTGATCCATTTCTTGTAACTTAAGGTTTAGGGCTGTATAAGCATCTTAAGAAATTACTTAAGATGTCTTAAAAAATATGAACAGATTACAAATATACACCCTTAGTCTTATTATATCTTATTACTTTTCTAAGCTATTTAAAAGAGATAAAAAAATTTTTTACCTTAAAAAAAAGTTAAAAAGTTAACTTAATTAAGTTAAAAGTTATTAACTTTTTAACTTTTTTTTTAAACTTTTAATGTTTTAACTAGTTACTACCACGGTAATACGTGAGTGCGAGCGCGTGTCAGGCCCTGTTGAGATCCCGGAATCCCGCTGCCGTGAGGTATAACGCACACACGTGCACACCTGTTCCGAGGTCCACTGCCTTTCCAACGTTACCTCGCCACAGATAGATAGAGCACGGCGGTTTATTACACGTCCTAGAACACGTAATGGGCCCCTCGCGGCCGGTTCCGCTCCTACGTGCGTTAAACCCGCTTCTCGAAAGAATGCAAGAAGCTGGGATAGATCTTGGCAGAATCAATGGCAAAATCGAATAAAAAACCGTAATCGTGATTGGACAGAGATAGAGGAAGTTGAATAAAAAATGTGTAGAGATAGAGAAAACTTCAAGCAAAAAGAAATCGTTACATTAAATAAGATTCATGAAAGCCACTTGATGGAATTCTGTAAAAGTTAAATACAGACGTTTTGATTTCTTTGTTCGTCTTCAATATAAGATTAACAAAATAATAAAAATTATTATTAATACAGAATTATTGTTGAATGTTACACAGATATCAAAATTGATAAAATGTTTGTTGCGTTATTGAGGTGTAAATATTTAAACGAAATTTTTACGAATTTGGTTTTTAATAATTTTTTTATAACCGTATATTTATAAGTTTTTGAAAAATCTAATATTTTGGAAATATCCCCAACCCCAATAAATTTAAAGGAGTCGTTTCCCTAAATTTTAAATTGGACTGATATAAAAAATACAGATCTTTTAGAATTTTGATGGATGTGTTGAAAAATAGTCTCAAGAATAAATATATGTAAAATTGAAATGAACTCTGTTACTTTTTTTATAGAGTTGAAGTTGTTACTTAAATTACAGAAAGATTAAAGTCGCACAAAAGCTTTACAATTATTCTATAATATAAATAACGTAACAATATACATACGTAACACATAGTTAATAGTTAACGTAAATTTCTTTTTAACAGAAGAAGATATAAAAAATAATACTCATTTTTTTAAGTTTGATATCGCATTATATATGTACAAGACATAAATATAGATATATATTATTCTTTGTACTATTCTCTGTCTAATCTCAGCATAGGAGGGTCTCTTTTAATCCAACATCGAGTTTCCTGAAGCCATATAAATTCAGTTTGATCCGGTCCTTGAAACAAAGTGCGCTCGCTGCGCATTTTTCCCTGACAGCTCAAAGGCGGCAAGCGAGGGATGCGAGTCTCGACAAATGTCAGAGGTCTGCCTCCGTCTTACTACCCTTCAACGGCGCGAGGATGGATTGGCGAAACGAAGAATCGGATCAATCGAGCGGTACATCGAGGTAGAGAGATGCTCGTTGTGAACCTCCTTGTAACATACAACGTGCACTTTCTCTTTCCGGACAGTCGAGAACTTGAAGTGGGATGAGAACGATCATCCCGCGGAGAGGACGAAGGATGCTGTCGCTGCTGCAGTTCTGGATCATAACGTTTGCTCCGAAGGAGTTCAGGTTTATTAAAATTAAACATGTTCATAAATCAAATTTCTAAAAGCAATTTAATTCCATCTATAACGATTTTATTTAATTATTGTTATTTTTAGTTTCGATTTTTTACAATTCGATTTTAAACAATTTTATTTTTTACTTTACTTCAATTTTAAATTAAAACGGCCGTACAGATAAATTTTCAATGAATTGACAAATATAAAAAATATATATAACATAACAATGAATTAAGAATTAAAATATAATAAATATTACATATCATAAAATCTGTACTGGAAAATTAAATTAGTAAATATACTTTTTAATTAATTCTTTTAAAATTATGAGCTGATATAAAGTTTTTGTTTTTAATTTTATATCTATCCAAGTTAAACACTTTTATATGAAAATAATTGCATTTTCTTGATGAAATTTTATTTAGGTTGAAATTGGGACTTGCAAGGATATTGGAAATTTCACGTCTGCTTTGCAGAGTCTGGAGCTTGAGACGACGAATCACCCAGGCTTCAGAACAAATTACATGCAGACAGATTACTTCAATGATTCCGAACAGGAGGAAACTGTTCCAGTTTTCAAGACGAGAGAAAAATCTACTTTCGAATTGGTAGTCCAGGGACCAGAAATCTTAATTTTCCAGGTATGAATGTCTTTATTTATTCATAATTTATCCATAACTTGATCTTCCAAAAAACAGATTGAGTTTTACAATATATTCAAATAGAATTAAATAAGTTATTCTCAAGAATATTAAAAAGATATATATAATAATATATAATAAAAAAAATATACAGAACAAGAATTTAAAATAGTTTTGTATATTTAATTTTTTATATATGGATTTATTTATTTATTATACATTTATTTAATTTAAAAAGTGTATTGTACAGAAAAGAATTAAAAATTAAGGAAAGGATTGAGGAAAGAATTTATCCTGCAGGGCATCAGGCATTCTCCTGCGGATATCGCACCCTATTGGAAGAAGGATTCTCGGATGTGGCTGTGGAAATCGGTTCGGCTCGCGAGGAGGTTAAAAAGTATCAAAGCAAAGGCTGCTCCTGCAAGCACCTTGTATCGCGAGGATCTTTCGTAGCGTATACTTTTATCTAACTGTACATACAAATTTTCGAATCGTAATTTTATTTTTTTATATTTCATTTCATTTTAATATTCAAACAATGTTGGTGACTCATGTGAGATATTCTTTCATTTTTATTGAATCAATCAAATAATAAAAAATAAACATTAAAGAAAACATAAGAAAAACACAAGAAAAAAATATTCATATGAATTTTTGATTTTATAATGGTATAATAATTTAATTCTTTATGACCGTAATGAATCTTAAAATTTGATACAGCAAAAAATATTTTTGTACTTGTGTCAAAATCTTGTTAAAATATTTTTATGTAAAACTTTTAACATATTCGAATGTTAATTTAATTAATATATTACTGTTAATTTTATTCAAGAGATAATTTTTTTACATAATGTTTATATCTTTCTAACTCATCTTGTGAGTAAATTAATACAAATATTTGGATAAGTCAAAATACGTTAAATTTAATACAAATTTGAAATTTTCCAATTGTGCACGTTAAAAGATTTAATGAAATAATTGTTTTAAATTTTACGCTAGACTATCATCGATTTTATTACAGTAATGCGATATACATAATCGCAAAGTTGAGAGCGACATTAATCTATTCCTTTTTTCGTAAACATTTGTTCTTAAAGATATATAAACAATTGAAGAATTTATATTCACACAATCTCTATCCTTCTTTGATTTCATTTAATTAAAATAATATTGTGAAAATTAATATTCATAATAGATAATAAGAAACAATTAGGTATTTACGGACATTGCAATTGACATCAGCCGCAAGTCTGAGCACTCTTTAGAGGCGATTCCTCGTCAAGTTCTTCACCGATCTCAAAACGCGCGAAGTCGACGATTTCAGCATGCGTTTCCGCTAGTAACTGCTGCACAGAAAGACTGGGATCGAGTAGAAATTCCTGATAGATCATGCACTGCTCTTCGTCCATATTATCATGCGGCTCGTCCACCCGCGGATTACCGATTTTCTGCGGGTCCATGCCTACAAAGAAACAATGTGAATATTGTCCTTTATTTTTCCAATCCAATTATCCAAAGTGCAGTCCATTTAACGCTACAAATACTGCGTTACAATACTTCGAAGTTTGATTGACCAATCAGAAGAAAGAATTTTACTAACTGATCAATAAAAGAATTCAAAGTATTTATAGTAGACCTGTCCAATTGATTTGAGCTCCGGAGCTAAAATACAAAGCTATCGGCGCAAAAAAGTTCAATGTAAGATTTCAGAGTAAAAATTTCAGACTAAAGTATTGATAAGCGTATCACTCAGATGCGTATCATCATTTTACAGTGTCCGAAATTTTATTTGAATTTTTTTGCGTTCATGACTTTACGTTTTGGAGCTCAAATTGGATAGGCTTGATTTGTAGCATCAAGAGTATCCCTGTGACAAATGAAACCTACCAATGATATGTTGGCAGAGCTGTGTGCCCAGCATATTATCGTTTTTCTTACACTTGATGGCTATAAGGGCACCATATTTGCCGAAAGATATAGGTATGGGATTCATCGGTGCTGGATGTGTGCAGCCGAACAGTGTCACATCCGGTGATCGTACGCTGATGGCAAGAGCGCGCCTCAGACTGATATTCTCACCTACGTTGCCGATAGTCAAGGCGGAATGGTCGCTCAGGGACTTGCCGTCCGCGGCTAGCAGGTCTTTGAGACTGTCTGCATGGAAAATAGTTCGTTGTACTTCGTTCTGAATGTCCTGGGATTTTGCATGATTCAATACTGCGGAGATCACTGCTTCTGCGAGACCGTGGAACTTCTTATTCCGCGCGACGAAGTCAGTCTCGCAATTAATCTCGGCCAGTGCGGCATGATTTCCGTCTACCGTCACCGTGATCAGTCCTTGGCTGGTGTTACGGTCTTTCAACTTAGCTGCCTGGGTCCAGCCATACTGCTGCGCCTGTTCTTTCAGCCATTTCTCCGCCTGGAGTAAGGAAGAACTAAGAGATTCCGTCGTAAGTGAATTAGAGTCGCAAGACGCATGTTTAAGCGATCGTAGAGTCTCTTACCTTATCCAAATCATTCTCGTGCAGTTCTAAAGCTTTCTTGCAGTTTGCAAATGTGTAGCCAGTCTTCTTGCGCAGCTTAGCTAGCAGAGATTTGTTTGTGACCTGCCAGAGCAGGCCATTTGTGTGAATCAGGCGGAATATCTGAGCCGGAATCATCTAAAAATATATTAAATTAATGTCAATTTCTGAGGTAATGAATAATTTATTATCTATGTTAATTTAATTTTCTTAATGTTACATCCATTAATTATATGGAAAATTGGATTCTGATAAAATAAGTTAGTTTCCATATATGCTGTAACTCATAATATGATGAACAAAAAAATGTTAAACAATGATTCAATAATGGATAGTTTTTTAGCTATGGTGTATCTCTCTGAGGATCTTTTTGAGGATAAATTTTACACGTTTGATACATCATAGTTAAAAAATTATCCATTATTAATATCTATTTATGATCATTTTTTGTTTATATTACAAGTTATATTCCTACATTTATAAGCACATTTTATCGATGTCTTAGAAATATCCTCAGAATATTTAGAAGATATAGGGATATCTTTAAGATGTTCCTTGGAGATCTATGCTATGTGGGATTATATAATTGTGTTCAGCAACAAAAGCAGCTTTGTATTGTTATAAAATTCTTTAATATAATTGGTCTTGTTCTTAATGTTCCTTATCCAAACGTATTATCAATCATATTTGCAGAATCATATTGCAGAATCTTAAAACTTGTAAAGCTGTTTTTCTGCTGAATGCAAGGATTTAATTTTCCACATGATTATACATGCGGAGTCTTATGGATTATCCTTATTAAGATACACCTGGTATTAATTTTCTTTTCTATATAAGTTACGAGTTTTGAACTTCTTGAAGTTAATTAGTGCCTTTTAATTAATATAAACTAAATGGTATCATCTAATAGTAAATATATTATAGATTTTGATATCAGCTCTGAAGGATTAAAAAACTGCATCCTGAAGTTATAACATTCTAAAGACATTCCTAAGATGTCTTTTGGATAAAATGTGTTATGGAATATAACTTATAATATGATGAACAAAAGATGATCATAGATACTATCAATAATGGATAGTTTTTGAGTTATGGCATATCAAAGATGTAAAATTTATCTTCACAGAGATCCTCTGATATGACCAACTCCGTTTGATACAAAGTATCAAATGCTGAGTATAAGAAAATGTGTCACATAGGAAAAATCGGATTATGTAAATTTTCGAGGAAATCGCGAGCTCACATCGTGAGATTTCGCGTCGTTCTCAGGCTACCACGAATCGAGACGCAGGTGGTTCCTGAGACATAACCTAAAAGAGAGAATCGCATGCAGAAATTGCTTCTCGCTAAAAGGGAGACAGGAAAGAGATGCGAATGCGAGGACTGTCTTCGCTCGCCGATTTCGCTGAGATTCGCGGAATTCGTTAACTCTGCCGAATCGATCGACTACGTTGCCTAGAAACTGCGATCGAGGGTGCAGTTTGAGAATCTTCGGATGCGCATGAATGACACGAAGACACGAGGACTCGCACAAATGCGGATCAATTTGGCTGTTAATTACGAGACGCTAGTTTGCGAATATTCGTGGCAAACCGAGCTGATTTCGCAAATCTAGAGCTATTTCGCGGCGATCCAGCGGTGCAAAACACTCACCGTGTTTGAAGGTTAGAATACACCACAAATCCGTAATCATTTCTCCATCAAGAGGGCGTTTTTGAGGCCCCAGTCCCCCTTTTAGTACTTGGTGAAAATTTTTCATATAATGAAAAATTTCAGAATTTTCATATAAATTTTAGAATTTTTCAAAATTTTTTAATTTTTAAGAAAATTTCTCAGATTTTTTATACAAACATTGGAACACTTTTCAGAAATGCCGAGAAAGTACACTTCTTTTTTAATTTTTCATGTATATAAATTTTGAAATATTTTGTTTCTAAAAGTTCTCATCCTATAATTTCTCTGTAATATTATAAAATTTGAAAAAGTTTAAAATATTTTTTTAGAAATTATAGAATAAGAAATCTTAAAAATCTTAGAGTAATTTAAAATTATTATATATAAAAAAAATCTTAGAATAATTTAGAATTA